ATCCAAAGAAATATTTGATTCTTATGTCTTTTTTAAATTGTAGAAATGTTACTATGTCATCAATGTGTGAGAAACATATGCTTGTATTAACTAAAAAAGCTACAAGTCATGATAAATGTGGTCAGAGTACCAGATGCAAGGGAGCTTTTAAATAGCCCATTCCAGGTTACTGGAACAACTTTCTGCAGGTGAATGAGAACCAAGTGGAGCTTTTCAAGTATCTCTCAGCTTATATCATCATGATGAAAAGAAGATGAATTAAGAAAATGTGCTGTGCTTGCCAGGATGAGATACTACATTTGTTAGCAGATTAGGCCATGTCACTAGCATTGGTGAAAAATGGGTAAATTGGAATCTTAATATTTTCTACTGACTTCATGCAGTTGCTAAAGATAAGCTATGGATAGCAATTGGAACAGGCGCTCACTTGAGCGATCTTGCAATCTATGAAGATGCTTGACCCTTTGGACCACAGAAATCCAATGTGATATTATTCTTTTAGGTTATGACTAATTGTGACTCTATGTCAGTATTTGTCTTTCACGGCAAGAAGACTTGTTAGTGTACTTGAAAACGTTTATCCCGATGTCACAACTGAATACAGTCCTGTATGCCAAAAAAAAAAAAAAATGTACGTGGAGATAGCTTTACTTAAGCGATTTGTAATCTTTTGGCACAACTACACCAACATGAACAAGGAAGTGAACAGAGTGAGAAAACACCCGTGTGCACAAAATGGAAGATCCATGGAAAGGATTTCTACAACAAACGATGACTTGATTGAAGAGAAAAACTTACTGAAGAGGATACGTGTGAGGAGCTAAGCTCACAAATAGCAAGAGCTTCCTAATAAATGGTAATGACGAAAAACAATATGGACCAGTTTTCTAGAAGTTGCATAAACTTGCTATTAACATGTATCGTTCAAGAGCAAGTTAAGTTGTGGTCACAGATACAGATGTGTCGAAAGTGTCTTTGTCATGTGCAGCACAGTGTGCTACAATAGCTGTAAGATACACTGTGTATACAAAGCAAAACCACTGAAAAAGTTGTACACGGCTCTGGTTGAAGGATTGGAATGGATTTGTTGTGGGCCTCTAACTAGCCACCTCTAGGTAATGAGTCTTGGATAATAGATTCGCGTATTTTAAAAAACAAAATTTATAATGCTATAATATTAACGATGGCCGCAGAAAATAGGGTTTGACAGACATTTGTTAGTAAAAAACAGCATTTAATTACTATATGTTGAAAACTGTTATGATAAAAAGTAACTGATTCTATAAAATTAGCTTATGTTGATAGTGTAAAAAACAACTGTACTGTTTTGTTTTATATTAGATTTATGATTTGATTCGAAACAATCGAGAACACTATTTAGTTCCTTGATATCTTGAAAATATTATTCCAATTATGCCCTTGCCAAAGTGCACAGTGTGCTAATTTAGTTTATTGTGTTCAGGCGGGCACAAAGAAT